CTCTTGACCCACGACTCAAATGGACGACCGTTGTCACCGAAAATTTTACCGGTAAGTCGGCTGGATTTTGGTGTAGTATTTCAGCTCGTTTTTGGGTGATTATGGACTGCTTTTTCGAGCTAATTTTGGGACTGTTTGGTACTATTTTTCGCTGCTATTTTTGAGTGTTTTTGAGTTGGTTTTTGGCTCGTTTTATAGGCTGCGTTTTGGCGACCTTTTGGAGTTGTTTTCAACGGCCATTTTCCTGCATTTTCAGCTATAAACGGTGGTGTTTTGGAGTGATTTTGGAGCTGTTTGATGGAGTTTAAGAGTGGCTTAGTGGAGGTTTTATGACTGCACTTTCATGGTTGTTTTTGCTAGAGATTTTTAGGTAATCCATGGCTTAAGTTGGATGTGTAAAGGGCTGATTTTGGGGTGGGAAGGTGATAGATGAGTTAATGAGGAAGAAGAGAGGGGTGCGGCTATTTTATCTCTTAGAGTGCTTGTTTTTTTTTCTTTTTCTTTATTGTGTTGCTCTCTATATGTAGTGAAAATGGTCAGGCGTCGGGTGAGGGGGAGAAAATTGGAGAACAAGAAATACGTGAGTGTGTATGTGCAGGTGATGGAGGGGGATAGTGGGGATGTGAGTAGAGGACATGAGTGGTGAAAGTGGGAGTGTGAGTAGGGGAAGTGAGAAGTTAGGTATTGGTGAGATGAGTGGGGAAAATTCAAGCACGGTCAAAAATTAGGTGCTCACACTAACCTCCACTTCATCCACCCTACCCCAATACGGTGTGTGACATCCTCGTCGATCTCCCCATCCCCCTGGATAACCTACCCAAGGTACTTGAAACTGCCTCTACTGGGGATGACCTAAGATTCAAGCTTCACGTCCATGCCCGCTTCCCCGGTTTGATGCTAAACTTGCACTTCAGGTATTCCGTTTTGGTCCTGCTCAGCTTGAAACCCTTAGACTCAAGGGCCTGTGTCCAAACCTACAGCCTCTTGTTAATATCGCCTCGCATCTCATCAATCAGAACTATGTCATCCGCCAATAATATACACCATGGCACCTCCCCTTGAATATGGTGTGATAGTATGTCCATACCAGGGCAAATAAGAATGGACTAAGTGCAGATCATTGGTGTAACCTCATACCAACCAAAAAATGCTCCTGAGTCACCTTCTACAGTCCTAACTCGAGTCTTAACTCCATCATATATGTCCTTAATCGCCCTAATGTAGGCAACCGACACACCTTTTATCTCCAAGCATCTCCAGAGAACCTCTCTAGGAGCCTTGACATACGCTTTCTCCAGGTCAATAAACACCATGTACAGATCCTTCTTCCTATCCCTGTACTACTCCACCAACCTCCTAATAAGGTGAATAGCTTTCGTAGTAGAACGACCCAGCATGAACCCGAACTGGTTTTTGGATATAGACATTGTCCTCCTTACACTCACTTCTATCACCCTCTTCCAAACTTTTATGATATGGCTCAGTAGTTTGATACTTCTATAGTTGTTACAACTCTGGATATCACCTTTGTTCTTATACAACGGAACTATCGTACTCCTCTTTCACTCATCTCGTATCCTCTTCATCCTAAAAATAATATTAAACAACCCAGTCAACCACTCCAAGCCTGCTCTTTCCACATACCTCCAAAATTCTACCGAAATTTTGTCTGGCCTGGTCACTCTGCCCCTACTCATCTTACGCATAGCTCACACAATCTCCTAAACCTTGATGCGCCTATAATACCCAAAGTCACAATGACTCTCGGAATGCTCCAACTCACTTGGCTCAATATCCCGATCCCCTTCTTCATTCAAAAGTTTATGAAAGTAAGTTTGTCATCTCCTCTTAATCTGGGCCTCAACCATCAATACTCTACCATCATCGTCCTTGATTCACCTCACTTGGTCCAAATCCTGAGCCTTCCTCTCTTTCGCCTTGGTCAGCTGGAATAACTTACTCTCCCCGCCTTTGTCCAAAGTTCCTCGTACAAATGACCAAAAGCTACAGTCTTAGCTCCGTGACCGCCAACTTAGCCTCCTTCCTACTCTCTTCCTCACATGTGCTCCCTACTAACACCAGGTATGCTGCCTTCTTAGCTTCCACTTTACCTTGGACCACTTCATTCTACTATCAGTCGCCTTTATGCCCGCCAGAGTAGCCCGTCGAGACCCCTAACACCTCTCTCGTAGCCTCCCTTATACAGCCTGTCATCGTCGCTCACATAATGCTCGCGTCCCAGCTACTACTCCAGGCTCCCATAGCCGCTAACCTCTCCTCCAACTCCTAAGATTTATCCTCAGTCAAGGCTCCCCACCCGATCCTCGATCATCCTCATACAGACCTCTTCTTCCTCTTTAACATAATACCAACATACATCACCAAGAGCCTATGCTGCGTCGCGATATTCTCACCCGAGATAACCTTGCGATCCCTGCACAACCCTCTGTCATATCTCCTGAGGAGAAGATAGTCAATCTGAGTCTTTGCCACCGCACTTTGGAAAGTAACCAGTGCTCCTCCCTCTTCGGAAAACTAGAGTTCGCAATCACCAACTCAAAAGCCTTAGCGAAATCCAACAGCGAAGTACCTCCCCCGTTCCTATCCCCAAAGTCGAAGCCTCCATGCACCTCGCCATAGCCACCTGCAGTCGACCTAATATGTCCATTGATATCCCCTCATATAAATAACTTCTCAGCAGGCGGAACATTCTGCACAATCTCATCCAACCCCTCCTAAAAACATCTTTTAACCTCCTCATCCATACCCGCATGCGGAGCATAAGAGCTAATAACGTTTAGGGTGCACTCTCTAACTACCAACTTAATAGTCATTAATCTATCATTCACCCGCCTAACCTCGACCACAGACTCTCTAAGTTCCCTATCCATCAGAATACCTACTCCATTCTTACCCTTCCGGAATCTAGAGCATCAAAGCTTATACCCCTCCGTATCCCTCGCCTTCGATCCTACCCACCTTGTCTCCTCGACACACGCTATATTGACCTTCCTCTTCTAGAGGATCTTCGCCAACTCTATAGACTTATCCGTTAATGTTCCTATATTTCATGACCCAATTCTCAACCTATAGGCTCCCTTGTTCCCCTTACCTCCCCTGCCTCCCTACCCATCCCTATCCCCTAGACCACCCCCACCCCGAGGACATGACCTTACTCTACCATCCTAGACTATAACTACTATACCTACGACAGACTAAACTAGAAGAAAATAAGTTGTAACTACAAGCACGCTAATATGGAGATTAAACTAATGTGAACTAAAATGAAAACAATCTAGCTAACACAAAGAAGGGAAATATGAATACGGGAGATACCAACTCCCGCGAATAGAACCTAGAGATTGTCTTGATGCACACGATGATGTTGCGGCACCTGGCACGTTCCTGTCCAATTTCCCGCTGCCTCTTGCTGACACTCGTCCGGGCTGTTCTCCAATGCTTACACACACATGTCCCGTTCGTCGCCAATATCCACTAATTCTTACCTGCAATACACATAAAACACCCAATACCAAGAAATATGGGGGGACTGTCACCGCTACCACTGGTGAAGCCCTAGCAGTAGCAAATAAGGGAAAATGGAGAGANCAAGTGACCGTTAGAGCTGGCTGGAAGAGGGAGCGTGGTGAGAGAAAGAGGGAGAGGGAGCAGAAACCTTCCTATAAAACAGAAATAACAAAAAACAAAAATATAGAAGAACAGAAAATTAATCTGAACCCATTGAATTAACAGTATTTTCTTAAGTAACTTAATCCCTTCCTAGTACCCGATGTTTATGATTATTTTCTCCCAGGATAGAATGGCTTACACACTGGTGTAGCGGTACTTCAAACCCCAGTGTTTCAGCGAACACAAATGATAATAGCAATCACACTTACTTTGTTTGTTTTGTAAGAAAACAATGCAGAAAAAAAAAGAAGGGATTTCAGAATTTTCGTTAGAAAAATCTGAGGGAATTGTCTAGTATTTTTAGCCAACAAGTTGGGTTCAAACGAAGAGGTGTAACTCTTCCAGATGACTGTTCATGTAAAACGGCTATTACGTAAATGGTTATTTATGCAAAATAAAACGAAAAACTCAAACCAAAGTAAATTCAAATTACCGTTACATAAACAGTTGGTTTGGATTACAATTATTAATTTAATTTAAGCGCGAGACTTGACTTCTTCTCAACTCTTTAAAAGCTAGAAGAAGTGTAATTATATATATACTCAAGAAATAAGTTTTTCTCCTCCAATATGGGACAATGTTCTTTTGTAAAGAAGAGAAAATCAAATTTTATTTTCCCCTCCATTTTCCATTCAGCTCAGTTTTGAACAAAAACCCAACAGGTCCAACACGATTATCCCTAAAAACGCCAGTCATGCCTTTCTTTCTTTTTCTTTTGAGCGACTTTTTTCTTTTCTTGGTTTTGATTGACTAATTTATTTTATGAACCCCCAACATAGAAATAAAAGTGCATGTTGGAGTAGGAAAAGAAAAGAGTTGATAGTTGAGAGGAGATTTGTGACGGTAATTACTTTGAAAGTGTTTGTCAAACAGACAAAGACATACAATGTTATAAGGTACTAGATACCACAAGCACATTGTTTTTTGTGTATGTTGCTTTCAACTCTAGTGTACTATCCTATGGACAAGTTGATCAATATCAATAATTGAAGGAGATAAGCAGTACCCTTTTTTTCCCGTAATGCATAACTAATGGCTTAACAATTTAATAAATATTTAATATATTTTGACGAAAATAATCCAAGGAAATGGGGAGATCGACGATAATGTCACACATCGTATTGGAACAGAGTGAATAAAATGGAGACTCACATCTGATATTTTATGTGATAAAAATGTACCACCAAGACTTAAAAGTAAGTTCTATAAAGTGATTGTTAAATCAATATACTGTATGGGACATAGTGTTGGCCAGTAAAAAACGCACATGTTGAAAAGATGAAAGTAGCATAAATGAGGATGTGAGATGGATGCATGAGCATACTAGGGAAGATAAGATTAGGAACAAAGATATACTGAGCAAGGTGGGAGTGGCCTCCATAGTGGACAAGATGTGGGAAGCGAGACTGAGATGGTTCATGTATGTGAAGAGTAGGAGCACAAATGCCCCAGTGAAGGGGTAAGAGAGATTGACAATGATAGGTCTAAAGAGAGTCAGAGGTAGATCGAGGAAGAACTGGGGAGTGGTAATTAGACAAGACATGACATATCTTCCAAACTCACTGAGGACATGATCCTAAATAGAAGAGCATAAAGGTTGAAGATTAGGATAAAATATTAGTATGTAATCGATCAATTTCTTTCTTTTCTGCGAGAGAACACAGTTCTAGTTTGGAGTACCTTATATGCTCCCTCTTTGTATTATTATTATTATTATTATTATTATTATTATTATTATTATTATTATTATTATTATTATTATTATTATTATTATTATTATTGTTATTGTTATTGTTATTATCTCTTACTTTGGTTACCTTTACTTCTTTTGCTGTCAATATTGTTTTTTCTTTAGTATTTTATCTTAACTGTTTTTACTCTTATATTTTTCAAATATATTTTGAAAATATTTTTCTTGAACCGATGGTTTATCGAAAATAACATTTCTACCTTATACAAGGTGGGGTAAGGTCCGCATATGCTCACCTTCTCAGACTTCACTTGTTGGATTATGCTAGGTATGTTGTTGTTGTAGTATACTTTAACGAAAATCAAAAGTGTTACTTTTGATAAACTTAAAGGACTGAAATTACTCAAGAATATATTTAAAGGACTATTTTAAACTTACTCTAAGAATAAGGGACCGTTTTTGTCATTTTCTTGGCATTTGGTCTATGGATTTCAAACAAGCCCAAATCTTTTCTAGTCCAATCCCTTTACATGTTCGGTTGACAACAAACTGAAGGTTTCCAAATTCAGACCCAAACACCGCCAATTTTTCAATATATGACGGCGGAGTTCATTTTGTCAAAAGTGGATTGAACGACGACCAGGACCAGTCAACTTTCCCCCAACATTGCGATCTGCCAATTCCCAGTTCTAGGTTCATCTTTTCTCTACTGATTTCTTGATCCTTTTTTAATTTTGTGGCTTAATATGCATTCTAGGAAAATCCAGGATTTAAAGTCAATTGGTTCAAAATAAGCGTAATATATTGTTATTTTAAATGTGTTTAGCTGATACTAATGGGCACAGTTGAACCTTCTGAATTGTTCCAGATCCACCACTGTTCTCAGTTTGTAATAACTGGAAAGTTCTGGTGTATAAATCTGCCTTTTAGGATTACTAATCATTTTTCTGAATAAGGGCAAAGATGGGATATTCATATGCTTAGGTGTGTTTGATATGAAGAAAAGTGTTCTTTTTTGGTGGAAAATGTTTTTCATTAAGAAATCTGGATCATTTTTCAATGGTTTGGTTAGGACTTAGTTCTGAAAGTAATTGTACAAGTTGAATGCTAGAGTTTAAGAGTATTGTTTTATTGGTATTCTGATAGTTGAGGATAATATCTAAGTGTTGGTTAAAACTAGTGGTATAAGTAACCATTGACTTCCTCATTTGGTGGGTAAAAATATTTCCGCGATGAAAATGATTTCATTGAGAATCTCTGCATACCTGACACATCCTTTATATACTCATCAAATCTAATCAGTCTTTTTTCTGTTTTGGTTTGCCTATATTATCTGTATGTTTCTTTTTTCAGGATAATCGGTTTAGACTACAACAACTGAACGAGATTTGATCATACTAGGGAAAATGTACTGCCTTCATTCTCTATAAATTATATTTTAGTTAGATCTTGATGTTACTTATGGTCAAATTCAGTTGCTAATGTTTGTTTCATGGACAAGATTAAGAAAGGAAATTCTGTTGGAATGTGATGTTTTTATAAGTAGCCTGCTGTTGACTTAATGCGCTGTTCAGCACTCAAATACCAAAATGTATGTTTTACTAGGAGGGTAGATTATATTTTCTTAGCAAGTTTCACCTGGAAATGCTGCGGTCCTTAAAAGGACGACTTAAGTCCAGGCGGATCATTATTTCTTTGCTGAAGGCACTATTAGACCCCCTAAGTTCAAATTTATTTGCTCACCATCTAGCTTTATAACTTATTGGTTCCGATGGGAGTTTCCAACACAATAGGTGATGGTTCAATTCTCACTGTGCCCTTTTCGCTGCCCCGTTCCCCCGCTCCCCCGCTCCCCTAGTAATAGAAAAGCTTCCAAAGAAAAAGTTAATTGCTTTGACCTACCTTTATATCTGGAAATTTGAAGTAGTAGGTTTTTCTATAAAATTCTCTCTAGCTCGAAGAATTTATTATATTCTCCTTATAAAAATAGTTAAAGAAATGGGGTCTAATTGTTTGACCTACTCTTTTTAGAAGAAGCTGAACCTATCTGAGTTTTGCTTGTGCAATTAGTATTGTTAGTGATGTTATCTAAGTGCTTCAGACATTTTTTCATTGGTGTGCAGGGGGGCACGTGTACAATGGGATGAGGCAAATTTGGGAGAAATTGAGGCAAATAAACCAGTGAGGCAGAAAATAACTGAACCAAAGACACCATATCACCGCATGACCGATGATGATGATGGTATGCTCATGCAATTTCTATTAGTTTCCTCATGCCTAGTCTTTAGAATAGAACCTTCTTGTTATGCATCAACATAGCAAATTTGATGGTGATGTGTTGCAAATTCCAATTTTTTACATGACAATTAAATAGGTAGGGGTAAGGTCTGCGTACATATTACCCTCCCTAGAACCCCGCATGTGGGATTGCACTGGTTGTTGTTGTTGTAATTAAATTGATGAGATGTAATTAATTTGTAGTTACTAACCTTTCTTACTTGCGCTCAATTATCAGATTCTACCGAGGGATGACCTTGAAGTAGTATTACAGACATCATAAGAGCTTCTTTGCTTGGTGGCTTAACCCTTTTGAATGAGTCTCATTCATATTGATGATCTGGAATTTGACTTGGTTTTGGATTTGATTTTTGTAGAGTCTGATTAGAGTTAGTTTATAAGTATTTCTTTAACTCCCAATGCTGAAGTTGATTTGTTTTTCTTTTTAATATTTCTATTGCATTAGAAGCTTCTCATTTGATGCTCAACCTTCTACGCTTTTTTAAATTGTGGTATGTTGGAACTTATCACTACTTATGTTATAGGCACTTGGAACCTCTGAGACATTCTTTAAAGTATGAGGCATTAAATGCTTGATGATATATTATGTTATTGGTGCAAGACATCCAATTATATTATGTAAACTGAGATCTTCAAAATTTCGAAAAGGGTATTTGAACAATTAGAAACAAGCTATATTTGACTTAAGCAGTTATCTTCTAGGAAGTGTTTATTTACCTTTGAATTCTCAATTACATTAATGACACTTGATTGAAGGGAAAATTTGATACGCACGTGACCTTATACATACACACATAAATATATATATGGATGTTGTGGTCTTGACCACATGTTAGTGTTGAGATGTGCGTCTCTTCATAAGCTTTAAAATCATCCCTCTAGGCGTGGTCTTTATAAGCCCAATCCACATTATGCCTTGCTTTTCTCCTCATGTTATTAACTGATGTCGGCATTTTATGGGACATTATGTGCTTTTTTTCTCTCTACTCATATGGATTTTCTTTTTAACGGATATCATAAAGGTAACTATGTAAGCATGAGGTTTTTACTCGTGTCTAGTTTATTTCACATACAAATAAATTATAATAAGTTTTTGCTATTTTCTCAAATCAGTCTGGCATTCTTTGCTATTGGTTTGATTTGAAAGTTGGTATTTTAATGTCAAATAGGGTTATATTATAATGTGTGGAAAGAACATGTTAAATGTGAAAATCATGTTAATATATACCAGTACTAGAACTATAATTTTTGCTCTTATTGCTTTTCCAATTTTATTCTGACTACAATAATACTGTAGGATCTCTATCTTCTCCGTGGGATAGTTTTGAGGAGGCCAATGGTGATGCAATACACTCAGAAGTCATATCCAGTGGATTGAGTGACATGGCTTCTTCCAGTGGAAATAATTCCAGACAGTCTGTCTGGACATCTTCGGAGGATGAGGCTGATATCATGGACCAAGATGATGAGGGTCTAGTTTTATCTGTCCTTTATGTTTCAATAATGTGGTTCAGATTTCTTCTCATTACACAGAACTTTCTAATAGATACTCTTCTGCAACTATAGTATGTTCATCTAAAAATAAAATCGTCAAAAGCCATCTTTTTGTGTGTTTTCCCATTGCCTATGGTTTTCGGTGGCAAAACATTATGCTATAATGTTTTGTAATCAGTTGCTGCTGCTTTCTTGCCTAGTTATTTTTGGTTATCAACTGCTTGCACTTTCAGTTCTTTTGGATCAGTGGCTTTTCGTATTTTTTGTCTTATTTTATTTGGATCTATAGAGGGGGTGGGTCGGGTTGCAGCTTTGACTTCAATTATGCTAGTATGTTTGTCCACTCTACTCACAACCAACTATTCTCTGGTCTTTGATTTTATTTTTTTTCTGCTACAAATAGATTCTGGTTCAGAAAGGAGCAAGTGCTTTAGGGAGCACAGGCGAGCACACTATGACGAATATAGGAAAATCAAAGAACTGCGTCGAACAGGCTCCTCTCTTGAAGAAGCATCTGATGATGAGATTGGAGTTCTTGAGGAAAGGGATGGGAGGTGTAATACATCATCGTCATTGACAGCTGCTGTTAAGGGCATTGACATTGCGGAAGGAGACACTTCTAAATAGTCCTCTGTCCCTGCCAATTGAACATGGATTGTCCCGAAAAAGTACATTATTGATATGATCTTATTTCCAAGAAGGCCGTTATTACAACCCATCGTTTTGTCTTTGATATGTTCACTTTTACTTGTAAGTTGTATATAGGTGGTTTCAGTACATTTCACATATGGGAGGAACATCTTCCATTCCGTGACTGCCATAACTTTTCACTGGAAAATATTGTGAAATCACAAACTACTAATATCGACTTCGTTACTGTTGTTTCATAGTTATCATTGTTGACATATTTGATTGCTGAATCTGCTCAGTTTTCTGGGAATCAGAGTCATGAGAGTAATAAGTTTGTGACGGCTTTGGGCCTTTTCTTTTCTACTTGTGCTGAGTTTCCTGAAATTTGACAAGGTTGTATAGTTTTGTACACCATAGAATTGTTGTTGAAACATAATACTTCAAAGCCACAAGCAGAGACTAGAGTTCTTGAATGTATACAAGTTTGTATACTTTTGAAACTATAGAATTGTTGAAATACAAGTATACAACATATCGGAGCCATTTTCATTCTTAACTAGCTTGCAGATTAATGCTCCTCGTTGTTTCATTATGGGTACATAACATGTAATATTTGGCTAGCTTTGTGGAAGTTGATTCATTGCTTAGTTCATATAGTTTAAGGTTGTCATAAACATTTGCTATAATATTTTTGTGGTTATAAAAACTTCTCATTAAGGGTTAAATTAGAAGTTTAAGTTAAATTATTTTCAAATTTAAAAAAGTTGCTTAAGAATGAAATGCTGTCTATTACGTAAACTAAAATGAAGAGTATTACGGTCACAATAATTAATAACTCAAAATATTTATGAACATTGTGCTCAAAGAAAAATCTGTGACTCCCTTAATAGTAAAAGTGCCACATAAGAGGGTGTACTAATCTTCGTAGTTCTTACCTTCTGGCTTCTACATGGCGAACTGGTCCGCCGCCTCCAACTGTAGTGGCTTGAAAAAAGTTAGCTAGGTAGTTAGATAAGGAATGGGCAAATGGCCTCTATTATAGCCTCTTAATTAATCCACGAACATTTGTAACAAATACGTAAAATTTAACTGAAACAGTTAGCTGAAGTAAATCATGGTGAGCATTTAATCCTCCATTCCACGGCTGAGATTATTTCCTATCCAAAATAATACAAGGAATGGCAGCTGACAGAGTAGTTATGCATAATCCAATTGATAAACTCCATTCTCCTATTTTTCTGACTCCATAAAACCATCTCTCCTCATTCTTCACATGTTTCTCTTGGTAGATCTAACCTTTAGCAGCTGTTACGGACACTCTCGAACTATATATATAATTGAAAAATACCTACATTTTACTTAGTTTCCAACAATTGTGACAATAGTATAGTGGGTGCACGAATACTCGCACCCACTAACTTAATTTGCTTGTTGGATCCGCCTCCTCGATCTTTCTGTTGGCCTTTATTCTCTTTCATGTTTATCCTAACACCTTCTGTCAATGCCGATCCAACTGCATCATCATTTTATAGAAGCAATTCAGTTGGATTTCTTTAGCTAGCTATTTCATTTTGTAAACATAAATATTTGCAACTTTTGAGTCATTAATTGAGTTGCAATTAGAGGACTAACTTTGTTGTGCCATGGCAGGTCCTAGAACACCACCATATTATAGCCCAACTTACAAGCCCAATGCAGCCAACTTTCCTTCTTCTCCTTACTCAATAAGAATTAATGTTTATACATTGGCTATAGCCATTACATTCCTTTGCTCTATCACTTATCTCTTTGGCAGAGGCTCCATTTCCACCTCTCCTGTTTCCAATGTTGCAGCTACCATCCCCTGCATTCCCTTGAAAATAACATCCACTTCTGCCGCTTCCAATAATTCCAAAATATCATCATCTTCTTCGTCTACATCGTCACAACTAGACTTCAGCACCAACCAAGGTGACGACGAAGGTGAAGGCGTTGTGCCTGATGATAGTGTCAAAGTTTATCCGGCATGTGACATTAAGTATAGCGAGTATACTCCTTGCGAAGATCCTCAAAGATCGTTGAAGTTCAAGAGAGACAGATTGATTTATAGGGAGAGGCATTGCCCTGACAAGAGCCAATTGTTAAAATGCCGTATCCCTGCGCCTTATGGTTACAAGAAGCCGTTCAAGTGGCCTAAGAGCAGGGATTTGGCGTGGTACGCCAATGTGCCCCACAAGGAATTGACGGTGGAGAAGGCCGTTCAGAATTGGATCCGAAAAGAAGGAGACAAGTTTAGATTCCCCGGTGGAGGGACTATGTTTCCAAATGGTGCTGATGCATATGTTGACGACATTGACAAGTTGATCAATCTTAAAGATGGTTCCATTAGGACTGCTATTGATACCGGCTGTGGGGTAATTTACCAATTTTTCTCAATGGCTAGAGGAATTTTAGGATCCCATTTAGCGACGTTTATCTAAAGAAGTTGTGACAACCTATATATGCAGGTGGCGAGCTGGGGAGCTTATCTTTTGTCGCGTGATATACTAGCAATGTCATTTGCACCTAGGGATACACATGAAGCGCAGGTTCAATTTGCTCTTGAGCGAGGCGTTCCTGCTTTAATTGGAGTGCTCGCATCCAAGAGACTTCCCTATCCATCTAGAGCTTTTGACATGGCTCATTGCTCTCGTTGCCTTATTCCCTGGGACCAGTATGGTACGTATAATTGATTAAGTAAATAAAAGTGTGTTATTTTTTAATGTGATGGTCACACAATTCAATAATTCTTTCACATGAATATAAGTTTGGTTTTACATATTAAACTAAGTTTATTTGCTTGGTGGATCAGATGGTGAATACTTAATGGAAGTTGATAGAGTGCTGAGACCTGGTGGATATTGGATACTCTCTGGCCCACCAATCCGTTGGAGGAAATATTGGAAAGGTTGGGAAAGAACCAGGGATGACCTAAATGGGGAACAAACCAGAATAGAGGAGGTAGCTAAGAAACTTTGTTGGAAAAAGTTTGTTGAAAAGGATGACATTGCAATTTGGCAGAAGCCTTACAATCATTTCCAATGCAAAGAACAAAAGAAGAAGTTAATGTGTCCTGCCCAAGATCCTGATAAAGCCTGGTTTGTGCTTTTTAACTCCTCACAGTTTTAATATCTTAGCTACTATTCGTTCTGTTTTATTTTACATGCACGACGTTCAAGAATAAAAAGAAGACTTTTGGTAGAACATGTTCTGAAATAGATTCAAAAGGAAAAAGAGTCATATAAAATGGAACAGAGGGAGTGTCAGGTTATACATGGATTTCTGTTAGCATTAATCTTGTTTCGTGTTAAATTCATCATTTGCAGGTATACGGAGCTTTCGACTTGTGTAACTCCGTTGCCTGAAGTTTCAAGTGAAGAAGAGGTGGCTGGTGGACAATTAGAAAAATGGCCTAAAAGATTACACGCAATACCACCTAGGATTAGCAGTGGAACTGTTAATGGTGTTACGGCTGAATCTTTTGAGAAGGATTCACAGCTATGGCAAAAAAGAGTTTCATATTACAAGAGCGTAGATAATAAGCTCAACCAACCAGGGAGATACAGAAATCTATTAGATATGAATGCTTACTTAGGTGGTTTTGCTGCTAGTTGGATTGATGACCTTGTTTGGGTAATGAATGTTGTTCCTGTTGAGGCTGAGGTCAATACACTTGGTGTCATTTATGAACGAGGATTGGTTGGAACATATCAAAACTGGTAAGTTATTCCTATGTCCTTCTGTACAATCAAACAATTCCTCATATGATTTTTTTCTTGAATTCGAATAAAAAAAGTTCGACTTGCTCCCCTTTATTAAGTAATGGGCTAAGGGCGAACCCCTAACCTAAGAGTTTTGTTATGACCAGCCGAAGACATACCGTCTAGATGCCTTAAAATCGTCCTTTTAACCTATTCCCACTTATGCATACTTTATGGCTGATAGGCCTACAGACGTTTGTTCCCTCCTGCCTCACCCTCCCCCCACCCCCACCAAAGCCTCTAGCGTCTATGTTCTTTAGGTACTTGTAGTTGAACGGGTGGGATAAGGTTGAGTATTTAGTGAATTCTTTAAAATACACTTAAGACTTATCGAATATGTACCTGTTAACAATATCAAGATATATACCTGTTAACGACTCATGTAACTTAGTCTAGCATTGAGGCTTTGGTATATTTGTATTTAAAATAAATTTTTATTGTAGGTGTGAAGCCATGTCAACTTACCCAAGAACATACGATCTTATTCATGCTGATTCAATATTTACCATGTACAAAGACAGGTAACTAAGTTCTACTATTATTTTAAGTTGTATATATCTTATTTCCCATACAAAGCCTGCAATGTAAATGTGAATTCTGAGTGTGTGGTTTTCATATCATATGTAGATGTGAAATGGAGGACATATTACTAGAAATGGATAGGATATTAAGGCCAGAAGGAAGTGTAATAATTCGAGAAGACGTAGATATATTGGTGGAAGTAAAGAAGATAGCAGATGGGCTGAAATGGGATACCCTAATTGTGGATCATGAAGATGGGCCAATGGAGAGAGAGAAGCTTCTCTTTGCAGTCAAGTCTTATTGGACTGCTCCAGCTACTCAAGATTCTAATAACACCTCCGCCAACCCAAGGATGATCTAATTTCTCAATCCCAATTTTGTCTCTAATTGTTTAAATTTTGTATAGGCTAGTCTGTGTAAGCTTTTAAGAGTTTGTAAACCAATTCTATTTGTCCCTTGATATGACTAATAGATTTGTTTAGCTTAAAAAGTACCTATCGAACTCTTATTTGGTTTTTCAATTCTTTTCATTTGTGTCTGCTTTTTCCAATTTTATCTTCTTTCTCCTTTTTAACTAGCAACTTACTCTGCTAGACATGGAGAAACAAGAAGAAGAATAAAAGATTATGAGAAGGTCAATAGCAGCTGAAAAAGGGCCAAATATCAGCCTTGATGTACATATTGTATAGAAATAAAATTGTGAATTAACTACATAGATATAATAATACTATAACAAAGTTAAAGAAAAAAGTATTTATCTCCCCGTATAATAACAGTGCCAAACAAGTTGAAATGAAGGGTGTAAATTAATATATCATGATCCAACTACAATGTGCGGGCAACGGCAAACACACAAGAAAACTGACTTGCCAATATCTTCAATTAGGTAGTTCACGCAAAGGGTCTCATCTTCCAAACAAGTTTAGCTCTGTGATCATCAACTATAAATAGAAGCCTATACATCTCCTCTTGGGACAAGAAAAAGCAAGTCAGCTACTTTAATTTTCTTGCAACAATCATTTTGAGTAACAACTATTAGACCATGGCTGCCATGAAGTCA